TGATTGGTGCGGTAGGTTGAAACTGGATTGATGCCTGTCATCTAAAGTAGTTTTCTTCCGGTCGTTCCGCGATTGGGAGCGGGAGTGATTTGGAGAGAAAATGGTATTTTTTCCTTCCCCTTCCTCTCCCCCGTTGCCCATATTTCTACTTAACACCTACTCCCTCGGCAAATATTTCCTCGCCCCAATCCTCCACTGTTACCAAATCTAAGATGGCGGCCTAATACGAAAATGTGCACTCGTGCGCCCAAAATACGCAGGCACTGCAGGCTAAGGCCCTTTTTGCATGCGTTTTTTAGCTCACTTTTGCTTTGCCATTGCTACGTTTCATTTATCCAGTTCGCTTACCGTCTTCTCCGCTTTTGGTTTTCGTGTTCCTAGCCGTTCTAGTTATACAACCTTTCTACCGCTTGCCTCGCGTCGCTTTTCGCTTATATTGTACATTTCGTGAAATCGATTAAACGACATGTAGCGTGTTCGACGTTTGACTACAATACTGGTGGACGAACAAAAGAAGCTAATGAGATATCCATTGTTTACGTCCACCAACATGGCGGCCATGACGTAACGTGCAAACCACCTATTTGAACCGAGAGATGTAATACGCACGGTAAATAACGGAACTTCTTTTCTTCCGCTCGGATTTATGGCCTGCGCACTTCGCCCTAAACCATAGTTCCGGCCGGTAAAAAGATGTACTTGTAACTTACAATACAGACCTTCAAAAACCGATTAATAAGAGGTGTATCTACGACTAGGGGATAAGAAGTACTCATATCACCGATAAATAGTAGATCTTTCACCCTCTGTGAACAAGGAACATTTTCCTCAACAAACCCTAAACAGGTAGTGGTCGAACTTACCAATAACAGAGTCCAGCACCTCTAATGTTAGATTTGGTTTGACCTTGACAGACCACGAAATGTGCATTCCGTCACTTTTAATGACATGGGTCTCTTTAATCCCTTATTATTGCATCAGCCAATCATTTTCGAATCGAGCCATGTTTACTCTAGACTAGTCCAAAGTCTTTTGTAGTTTCTCATGATCCCGTTCATATCATCGCTGGTCTAATGCTCAATGCACGATGAGAAAATTTCGCTGAAAACATTTAATCTCTGAACACAACATTACGATGATAACAAATCAGTACAGGCTTTTCATATTTTTTTTTTTGTTCTTTTCTCTAAAATACTTTCGTGTCTAAAGCATCAATTCACTTTCACTGGTAATTGTCCAATTCTTCACCTTTGTAGACGCTTCACTGAACCCTTAAGGAAAATTCACCCCTTTTGTGTAAGTCCTCTTAATGAAGCACGTATCGTGAAGTTGACCGATATAGATCAGGTCAGTATCGACCTAAAAATCACGTATCTACCATATCCTCTACAGCTCAGATTCGTCTGGATAACCGACTTCTTGCATTTGGGCTTCACCATAAAACTGCCACTACAACGCGGGATAACGTTTCGATGCTGTCGGTTTTTTTTTAACGTTCTTCTTTCCTTTTCATTGACAAGCAGCAAACTTAAAAAAAAAATCTGGAATTTTATTGACGAGTGATAGATGTCAATCAAAAATTCAAAGCAGCCGAATTGCCATATAAATAGAGGCGAGGAATGGCGAAGAAAAACGAGGGCGCTTTCGTCGTTTTCCCTGGCAACTGCCGTTTCACGCTTTCCAGCTCTTTCCCTTGTCTTATCTGACCGAGAGTCCGAAGACAGCTAAAGTGCAGTTTTAGTTTACCATTGACTGACTTTCCCAAAAAGAATCTTTAAACATCTCGGCGCATGGGAAATTTACTGAACAACTGATGAAAACTGAAAGGGATATTGTCGCAAATGTCTGGCCGTTTCAGGTAGAAATGTGCCAAGGACGACAAAGCCGGCTTTGTCGTCCAAGGTATGCTCAGTTTTTGAAAAACTGAAATCTTGGAAACCTCCATTGTTCTACTGTGGATTGGTACGCTCGGAGCAGGTGTATAAGTTAATGAAGTTTAACCGATGCGTTTACCTTCTGACCAGCGAAAACACATTGGCAATAGCCTCGGATTAACTCTAGAGTAGTTCAGTTTGGATCGTCGGAGAAGACTCTTTTCCCTTAGAAGATTCTCAATCTGAACGTTGCTGTTATTTACAATCATCAGACAACCTTTTTGTTACTTATTCTTTCTGAAGTATTTGTACCATACTTTTTCTTGGCAATTTAAGTTTGTTTGTTATTCGAAACGATTTCATTTTATCAATTTTTTAACGCCGCGAACAGAAAGAAATCCTTCGACCAAGCATTCTCTGAAAATAAAGGGAGCTCTTTCCCCTGGCGCAATGTACCACTGGCCGCACCCTCTAAAATCAAAGAGACGATCTGAGAACTAAGTTCGATATGAGGTTGCCTTGTTTCCTTCGTCAATTTCTCTCCTCCTCTTCGTCAAAAACAAGTCACTTGCAGTCGGGAGGTATTCTCGACTTCGTTCCCACAGAGCAACGCCAAACGTAAGGATGGAGATTTAATCTAACTTTGTCAGCCAGAAACCCAGATCTTGAAGTAGTTTTATTAAAGACTGCTCGAACACCAATCACAAAAAGACAATTTCCAAACCACACCCTACGTAACAAAGAAACCTGTTTTAAATTATAGTAACCAAAGTATAATGTTGCCCGTTTGCTATAACACTCGAATGCTGCATGAGTAACACCTATTGGGATGCAAAAAAAAAAAGAACAGCAGTTAGAGAAACTCATTATTCTCTGGCATCTGTAAAAATACTCAGTAGCAAATTATAACTTTTGTAAAAAAAGTGAAAAAAACCATTCAAGTTTATTCAGATTTGGTTTTTAACTCCTGGCCCCTGTTCGAAGGGTGGATAGCGCTGTCCACTGTTTCAATCTATATTCGTTGGGTGGCTTAGTAGGTTTGTTTTAACGCCTTTCTATTGGAAAGCGTCACCCGCCCTTTAAACAACTGGCGCCCTGGAGGTAGGAGGCGTTATCCGTCACCCTTAAGCGTCCGTCGAACCTTAAAGGACACTCCTTAGAGATGGGACTTGGATTGAAATTGTTTTGAAACCAGATGGCTGTTTATTTCATTACATGATCTTATCTAGACTTTCAAGGTAAAAGGGCAGATCAATACTATAGGCTTGTTTAGCGAAAGGCTACAGTACCTTAGATGTATTCTTTCGTTACTCAGATCTACCTGCTATAAGGCACAGAAACCGGTCCTCAGTGATATTAAAGTTTTCGTAAAACTACGTATAATTTCGCTATGGGAAGTAGTGTTTGATCAAACAATAGAGATCAGGTTACTGTTCCAATCCAGATAGCCTCATTGTTAACCGTACTAGTTTACGAATCAATTCATGGTACTGACGAGCTCCCACGATAAAATAACACGCCGCAATATCGTGTAAGTGCTTTAACAACGCATGCGCAGTGATGATGCGTTGAGCAATACTGCAGAGTGACCCCATGAAGAGCTACAAACTCAAGTTCTTCTTCGTAATTACCTTATTCCTTCTGTTTTTCTAAACCCCTCTTGTAGTGGAGAGGCTTTAACTCTCTGATTTGATCCTCTTCAGCTGAATAGGCTACAGCGATAATATTATAATAAGTTAACAGAGAGATTTAGGGGACTGGATTGGCTTTCTAAATTTGCAAGTTACACGAGTATGCCAGTCACAGCGAATCAGTCGTTTCGGAAATTATCATGTTGCTACTTACCGAGAATTGCAGAACACTATTTCACAGCCAATTTCGTTACATAACAGTAATACTTGAAAAACAAAGAGATACTCCTGACGGACTACTTCATTATAACAGTGATTATTAAAAACTAGATCATTGGATAATGCAGTTCAACACTTTTTATTGGCTTAGCCATTATAGTATATCAGCCAATATACCATAATCTACAAATATGGCAGGCGTACGTGTCAACTTAAAATTAAAAGGGAGTTAAAATTTACTAAAATTTAATAACTTAATTTAACGTTTTTAATAAAACAATTATTCCACTCGCTCTTGTTGGATATGAGATGATTATAGCCAACGCGCGCTCGTGGAATAATTGTTAAATATTATTCTCACCATCTGAACACGGCTGTTCATTACAAGGTCTGCTCTCCTTCAGAGGACCCTCACAGGTCTTTCCGTATCCCTGGGGGAGAGGGTTGGTACAGCTTCGTGTTCTTGTCTGTACTCCACCGCCACAACGCGCATCGCATTCAGACCAGAAACTCCAGCGGGTAAAACCGCCATCCACACCTGGAAAACACGGATACTTTGAGAGATCCTCGTCATCTGATACCATGGGTGCTCCACATAGATGCAGAGTCACGCATGGTCTCTGCGATATGAAGACTTGGGGCTGAAATTTTCAATTCTGTGTTGAACCTCTCCCTTTGTAACCATCAGTGTTTCGTTCTGGGTCGTTCTCACCTATACTTTGGGTGTTATGCGCGTACTTAGGGTGATTTCATTCTTTCCCAACATGGCACTGTTTTCAGCATGTGTTGTCAGCTCAACAGATTGGATCTTTGAACTCATTCGAACTTGAGGAACCTAAGCTCACTATACTTACTGCACGTTTCAGCCAGAATGTCACTGAACAGATTTGAGAGTTGGTCGAAGTTGCTTGCGTTGTGAACGTTTTCACCTGCAATTTCTTCAAGTTGTCCTTGGAAATCTTCATACTGACCAACTCCTACCGCAACAATGCGGACGTCTTTTGCCTTTGAAAGGAAGGAAAATTGGGAATCTAGGCCACTTCCCACTTCATTATCGTTCTGTGGTTTTGTAAAGAATCTACCTTCAGGATTCGGCTGGTCATTCACCGAAGGACCTTAGATAAAGATGACATTTTCTCCGGTCGATTTTGTAAGGAGCTTGATTTTCTTCTCTAAGAGCGAAAAATTTCTTATCTTTTGGGACACATCTATTTTCCCGAAAAAAGACTTATTGAGTACAATTATTAAAGCTTGGATACCGTCGCTAGCATACCTAGTTACTTTAAGATGACAGCCGATTGTTACCCGCACTATGGAAGTCTGACAAGATGAAAATTTGAAAATATAAATTCATCAGCAAGAGGCTGATGTATTTTGGCCCACTGACTTGATGTTATGAAAACTCGCAGGAGATCCTTTTGAAGTGCGCGCATGGCATCCGCACTTCCAAGAACATAAAAGTGTGCCAGAAGAAACAGGAGGAAACTGTAAGAGTGCAGAATTCTAACCTCCAGATGAGGGATGATCGTAGAGAAGGGTTTTGATGTTGGATTAGTCCTTCCGTCCGTTAAGAGGATCAGAACATTTGGAAAATCCGGTCTATCACCTCCCTCCTCAGTAAATAGTTTATTTGCGGCAGCCATTAGAGCTTTGTCTGTGAAAGTACGGTCACCAAGGACGACAGAAATCTTAGCCAAGAAGTCGTGTACGGCTTCGTTGCTGTACAGCATGCTGTTTGCAAAATTGCTGAGGACTTTTGGTTTTCTGTTGAAAGTGATTATGCCAGTGTGTGTGGCGTCTGGACCGATGTTCAACGCAGCAACGAGCTCAAGAAGGAAGCCTTTGAGCAGCAAAAAGTTCGGTACTCCGAGGCTGCTGGTCTTGTCTATTACGAATGCCACGTCCATTCCCTTTGAGTTCTCGCAAGGATCAGGAGCTAAAGGAAATTACAAGAATTAAATGGAGCTAGCAGTAACATGCACAATTTTTCACAGGGTTTTCCCTCGGGTTCCCTTGGCCAGGGATTCTCATCGGAATCGTGCCGTGATCCTGTTAGCCATTACCAAAAGTTTGCAGCTTAACTCCCGACTCACAAGATCTCTGATTCTATTCGAAATATTACCTACGGATACTGAATTTCGATAAATTTATCCGAGTAGAATTTGTAAAAGGATATCAACGAAGCAGGAAAATCTCAGTAGACTACGCATACTCACGACAGACCAAAGTTAAAATATCATCGGTTGCATCGTCGAGGCTTTTATAGTCGTCCACAAAAAAAAGATTTTTGCCTCCAATGTAATCAAGGACTTGGCGATACTTAGGTTTCCTGGCGTCTGGGCCGATACCAACCACGATTATACGGACACCTCTCATCTAAGATAAAATGGAGAGAACTACTTGTGTCAGTCAAGTGAATCTTTTGGGGAGGTAAAGGAACGTCGGTGTATGAGGTCATGAAGCTTAAGGGCTGAAAAATTCTGAAAAAGCAGTTAGCAATTGACCGATCTTTCGGTTGCTTTATTGCCAGAACAACCCACGTGTTTCTCCAGCGGTAGAATCAGAGAAATGAGATGTTGAATTAGTGTAAAATAACTTTGCAAGCATCAACAGTAAACTTAAAAAACGGGGTTAAAAGTTAGCAAGGATATTTAGGGACCTGGTATCTAGTAAGCGAACAACTCTCTAGCTAAGTTTGTTCTAGGTTGCCTTTTTTTCTTCTTTACCTTAAGTGCTACAATATCCAGATAAAAGTCCTCGGTATCAGGATGCGATCTGCCATCTGTGTATAAAATCATTGCGCTCCTAACACCCGGTCTCTGTCCACTGGCCTTTTTAAACATTTCGTCTCTTGCAAGCCGAAGTGCTTTGTCCAGTCGAGTGGGTTGGGCGAGCTTGTTGATACTCTTTGATATCAATTCAAGTAGAGCGTCTTTACTGTGATATTCGTTGAATTTATTGTGAAGCGTCGCCTCCTTGGAGAATGTCTCCAAAGACACGTGGGTTCCATCGGGTGTGATGTCAAACTTTTCGACAAGGTGTTTAAGCGCTGCCTCCAGTTTTGGTATGTTTACGTCTTTGATACTTTTTGTCGTATCAACCAACAAACCAAGATCCAGTTTACATCTGGATTTCTCTACAAAAAAAAAAACAGGAGGCAAAAAACCAGGCCCGAAAGAAACCGTCACAGAAATACTTCACTGAGCTCGTAACAGTCATCAGCAACACAGACGTAACAACGTTTGCGCAGGAAAAGGAAGTGTCTTTACTTGAAAAATAAGCTGTCATGCTTGCCGTTGTTCTTATGTCGCTTGTGACAACAGTAGTGAGCCTCGAAAGGAAAGGTCACCGAGGAAAGCGAATTATGTTAAAAAAATGTGTGAAAGCTACTACACCAAATATCTATATAGGGTTCCTAAAAGACTTTAGGAATGATGGGTTTACAAATCCCATTTCGTCTTTAGTTCCGAACTCAACGACTTTTTCCAATTCTCCAAAAGGGTTTCCTTTTGCAAAAATACTGGTCACACATGAATACTATGGATTCAGTTCTCAAACTGAAACTCGAAAGCATGCACTAGGAATTCCTAGATGTAAAATTACAAAAATCGGTTTCCATTTCACCGTGTGTGGTGAAAATTTCAGACATATTAGTGACTTAGGTAATTCTACACAAATGATACCATCTTTCTGTTTCAATTCATACAAATTATGCTTGGTCTACGATGTTGATACCAAATGAAGCTAGGTAATGGTCAACCTCACCACTGTGAGTTATCTGCAGCTCAGAGATGGAGTATCAGATCACAAAATCCGACGGTCTGATCTATTTTCAAAGGAACTCAGATTGTTCCTTCGATCCATATCTTTCATTCGACGACCGACCATAAAATTCATTATCTTTCTCAATCGACGTGTTCTATATTAGAAACGTATCGACGAACAAAATACTCATAACTAAAATTGAATACTTCTGGACATTTTCGTTGCAAGTTATGGAGATATACAAATTTCAGATCAAGATTTTTTTAGTTCCAGTTGGGGCGAACGTTTTTCTCTGAAGGAGAGCTTAGACATTTAAGAATAAACACTAGCGAGAAAAACACACAACGTGCACCGGGAAACTGGACTGTTTAGTTCATGAAATGCTTTTCATAAAGAAGATGAAGCCCTCGTTGAACAAACAATCGGATTCCATACGCGCGAAACTATTTATTTAATAGTTTACATTTATGAACTTAACACGCGCAATTATTTATATAAATATTTTAAATATTTTAAACTTTTTACGTTTGCCACCTTCGTACGGTATAAATTAACTATTCATTTTTATTCTCTTCTCACTTGAGAATGATGACATGGAGTCATCGAAACGTTGTGTGTTTTTCTCGCTAGTGTTTATTCTTAAATGTCTAACAAAATCTAATGTCAAGGAGAGCTTAGCTTTGATTAATTATGTTAATTAAAGATGTATTCACTGTACCACCTACCCTCAGAAACTGCCAAGGAAATTGTAAGCAAAATAATAACAAAACTCAAAACAGTCATCTTGGATCAGCTGAAAAATAATCAAGGAACACTATTTTAATCAAACCTCGGGCTAAGTGTACTTGTAACAGATTAAGCTGTCTACATAGACACCAAACTGCTCGATTACAGAAAACTTATTATTGTCTCAACTTGGAAGTAAATTGCTTATGCCTGCATCTACATTTAGGTGAATGTAAAAATACTGGAACCGAATCAAGAGAGGACTAGCCTCTCTTGGGGCGAATACAACTACGATAAAAGATGAAAGTAAAAAATGAGCGATGGAATAAAAAAGAGTCTAGAAATTAACACACAAACTAAGGGAAGAACCAAAAAAAAGAAAGTATCTAAGAGAATAATTTAGAATGTCACAGGTAACGTGACATTTCCGATGCAGAAAAATTCTACGATCTCGTTTCTAGAGTAATAAACCATTTACCTTTTTAAAATGATCACTACGACAGCATCACACTGACGGAAAAGTTAATCGGTGATAAGCGATAACCCCATACGAACATTTTTTTTTTTTTGCTTAGTTTTTACTTTCAACTCAAACCCTGTAAAAGACAGACTTCTCAGACCTTGGACAATGGCGCATTACCTACCTGACGCGATGAGACGCAACTGATTATACGTCGAGAAGTTGTGGGGTTCTTAAGTATAGAAAGCAAAAGTTACACTCGAATAAAACCCTTTGAAAGATGAATGACCTTTCTTGAGTAATGTTTTGATAGCCCCCTGTCCCTGTTTACTCTTAGTTACTTGTAGGTGTTTGACATCCAATATGAATATCAACTGTAAAATGTTATTATTCATAGAAATGTTCTACCTTACAATCGCTTAGCTTAATATCATCAAATGATCTGACCCAACCTGAAAGCTAGTTCTCCTAATTGATGATCTTGCATTTCTAGGGTGGTTATTCTTATGAATTCAGGGTTATATGAACAGAACGTCCTATCGCTTTAGATCGTTTGGACGTCTCATCCGGCTTGTCTGACAAAGTATTACAATTGTAATAAGAACATAGACACTGGTAACTCCTGAGTCTCAATTATACATTCTCTTGGGTATCATTTATACCATTCGCTCTGACGAAGGGCTAAAGCTTGAAACGTCAGCTTTAATTTTTAACTCTTTACGGTGGCCAAATTACAATTTCAACTTAGTTGATATAACCACATTACCTTGTTACCCCCACCGACGCAGCACCACAGTTTCTTTAGGAACTTACTTCCTTTATTCATTTGTCAGTTATATAGCTTAAGAAGTATCGCCGAATTGTTAATAAATCAGGATATGCTTTTTTTTTTTTTTTACTTTTAATGACCATGTTTCTTAAATGTTCTACTCAACACGTTTCTAAAGATACTTTTTAATAAGCACCCCAGCATTATTGTCGTGGAAACAAACCAGTTTTTGAAAACTTGTGGAGAATTCCCAAAGACCACCGTAGTCTAACGAATAAATAATTGGTCATGCAACCTTTCAGTCGACCAAAAGACAAAAGTGCGACAGATCTAAAGAAAAATGAGGAATTGTGTGAATGTGTGAATTTAATAGTAATCCTCAACGTGGTCATTAAAATGGTTTGCTTATATTCTCTTGAAACCGGCTGCCTAATCGAAAGTTACCTTGCGAATAGACCAAGTTTACTTTATCGCTAAAGACTGCAAACATTCTGGATTCAAACAACAAAATGTAACCATGAAGTCGAAACTGTTTCAGTTTGTATTGCAAGTGCTTGTGAAAATGAGGATTGTTACCATGGCTACCTAGTCAATATCAAAAGCTATTCCCCTTAAGGTTGTTCTTATTTTTATCATAACATGTCAAGAATTCCATTTTCTCATAACATGTCAAGTTGACTTAAGCATACGTAATTCTTGCAGTATTTCATGACTAGAAACCCAACCTTGAAACTACTTCTGTTTTCTTCTTGTGGTTTCAATCTGGCATGGTAAATAAGGAATGTAAATTCTTCAAAAAAGATCAATCAACGTCTGCTTTAATCCATCTCAAATGAATACCATGAATTACAAGTAAATGAAAAACTATTGTGCTTTTTCAGCAACAAAGGTAGCCGACATCTTGAGCTTTCAATTCTTTCTTAAGCCGTTAATGAAAAGACGTTTCTATGACGAAAAATAACCCATGATAGCAGAGGTCATAATAATTAGTCTTATTCTTTTGTATCACATTTTTTTCGGTCGTACGGTGATATTGCTAGTGCGATCCGTATAATACCTTACTGTTGTGCCCTGTACTTTAAATTTATTCGAAAAGCCAAAAATATCTCCTGAACTCGCACCATTACGTTTTCGTATTTTAAAATTTGTTTATTTAAAGTCAAGGAAGAGATAAACAGACAAGGATTTTGTTTCCAAGACACGGAGTCTGATATCTCGTAATACAGCGCTGTGCAAGCCATAAAAAATATAATTTGGATATATCAACAAAGTTGAAGTGGTAAATTGGCCACCGTAACGATTACAAAAGCTGACGTTTCGAGCGTTAGCCCTTCGTCGGAGCGAAAAATATAACATAAAAAATATGTATTGTAATGCCTATCAAAGGCCGGTGTTTACGACGATAACCCTTGAAGTTGATAGATACCTCTTTCTCGTCAATAATATTCATATCTTTTTAACGGCATAGTATTTAAGAATTATTGAAGCCACTAAGAGGTTGGTACTCATCACGGAAAATATCTATTCTATGCCAAAAGGCATTGCAACGCAACTTCAGGGAAATATTGATCATTTCGACGCGTTTTTGTGGCAGTTTTAGGGTTAAACACAGGCTTAAGAAGTAAAAAATTCACTAATCCAGCCGAATTGCAGCTGCAGAAGAAATGATAGTTACGTTTCGGGTCGAAACTAGCGTAATCTACATCGCTCAACTTTAAATTGTGTAGATATACACAAAAGGAGTATTTTCCTTAAAGGTTCAGTGAAGCGTCCCGAAAAGAAGAAATTTGGATGTTTGCCATTCTAAGTGATTAGCAAAGATTTAAATCGACGTTCTAGGCATGAACGTACTTTAGAGAACAGAAAAAAACAATTGATTCTCAAAAACCTGCTTTGATTTGTTGTTATCGTTTTGTGGCGCTCAAGGTTGTATATATATTTAATCAACGAAAGTTTCTCATGGTGCATTTAAAATTTGCAAGGAACCCGACGACGAAATTAGAATAAACCTTAAGTGTAGCTTTACAAAGAAAAAAGTGTTTTAAGGCTGTCAAATAACAATAAGATACACAGAAAAGTTGAAGGAGACAGGACCGGGACTCAAGGTACCAGCCACTTTTCCTTAAACCTCCAAGTTACGTGCTTTCTCGAACAAATTCCTAACTATTAACTCGGACTGGAGGATGAAAAGTACCAGTCGTTTGCAAGTACATTCTACTTAAACCAAAAGGTGTTAACCGTGCTAAATCAAAAATAATGAAAAATAGTAACTAGCTTTTACGTTATGAATATAGCGTCCGATGTGTATTTTATTTCCATTTTTATTCTGAACGGTTCAATAAGCTCAATTAAAGGAAATTTTAGAAAATTCTTGCTTGATAACAATTGTGCCTGTTAACAGAAGGGAAGAATACAAAAGTTGTGTGCGTATTTAAAGCGTAAGAGACCTTTTTTGGCTGAAATTTGTTTATAACTAAGTGCAGAAAGAATCGTATACTCATTAATTAGGATGTAGTCGCATTAGAATTCAGCTGTTGCGCCATGTTTATTTGTTTGTCTTTTTCTTCTTTTCCGGGAAAATCCTGAAAAGAAAAAAAGACTTAGAAGTCCCAAAGACCAGAATGTTATGTTTTACATAACAAGTATATCTGGGAAAGTTCCGACAAAATCATTTCTATGCACTTCGAGACTCCGTTTTCACCCGCCTACAGTGGTAGCCGTAAGGAGATTCTTCAATGTTTGAATTCACGGTACTTCTTTAGATGTAATAACAAGTTCGTTCTGTTGTTTTTCTTAGCTTGACATAACAATACTGTGTGAGAGTAGCATCAATGAAGCGTCTATCATTTATAAGGTATAAATTTTTCGGAATGACGATATCAGCTGTTGTGTTTTCTGCTCAGTATCTATTCAGTGATTTAATGTCATTTGTCTCTTGGTTTGGTTGGCTAACTCGATCGGATGACTCTTTACCAGTCCCGGACTTTTAATTTTCATACAATCCCATACAATGCCCGTTAAGATCCGGTAAAACAAAACAAAAATGAAGAATTGGACAATGACCGTTGTGAGGGATTTAGCCAAGATTAGTATCACGTTTTAGGCACGAAGTACTTTACAGAACATATCAGGGCAAAAAAAAGGATTGTATATAATTTGTTGTTATTGTAATGATGTGCGAAGGGGTTGTATGTGCGTTATCAGCGAAAGATTCCTGGGTGCTTGAACATCAATCTTGCGATGATATGAAGGACATCATAATAAACAAAAGACTTAGGATTAGTACATAATAAACATGATTTAAAAAGGTGATTGGTTGAAGCGAGAAAAAACAGATTAGGGAAATTTACTGGCACCAACCCTTTACATTCTAACACCAGTATGCATAATCTCCATACTGTTCTCTACACATTTCCTGAGGTGCCAACAAGGAGAATTTGCTAAACAATAAAGAGCTTCATTAGTTAGTGATCATTTCCTTTATTCTCGTGATCTTAATGATTGATTCAGGGGGAATAACGTGGGGAGAATTTAGATGCTGGATTCAGTGGGGATACCGTGGGGAGAATGTAGATGCTGGTTACCCCTAAGAAAAAGAGTTAAAAGAGTCGGTATGCCCAGTTCGTGATTGAACAATTAAACCCTCTTTGTCTGTTTGCCTGGTAAGTCACTACGTGTTCAGGATTTGTTGTGAACAATATTTCTTATTCACTGAGGTAGTATGTTTCAGCTTTTATTGGTGAGATGAGTATTTCTTGTCTGCCAAAAAGAAATCACCAGTTAAAAATGTCTCGCCTAAAGCGTTCACCTGGTCGTATATGAAACGTGACGTAAGTCGCCAAACAATTTCTTTCAATCAACAAATTTTACGCCTAGATCATACCGGACTACAAAAGTCATGTTTAGTTTTTGTTGTGTACAATATTCCTTATTCACTCTTTACAAGTGCCGAACTTTTTACATAATTTTCATACATTCCCAGTAACGATCCGGCAAAACAGAAAAAAATGTAGGGTTTGTGGTGGACAATATTCCTATTAACTGAACTAGAACGTTTTAGCTCTTATCGGTAAATTGAATAATTGCTTAAAAGTACCCTAAAAAAATCAGCTGTGAAAATATCCCGCCTAGAGTTTTCGCCTGGCTGTTTATGAAAGGTGACGTGGGTCTCCAAATAATTTCATTTAATTGGACAAGTTTTACGCCAAGAGAAGTTATTCCGAAAAGTGACTTTCTTGGATTACAAAGCAAATGCTATTCTAGGCGTGTACTGGATAAAATTATTTACTTTGTAAAGCAAATCTGGTATTAAGTATTACATTTAAGTAACAAACAAAAATATACGTCATTTTTACTTCGAACAAGCGCGCCCTAGCAAATGCAAGTGGAGTGGTTCTGATTCGTCAAAATATCTTCACTCCTTCAAAGTAAAACAGATGAAGCCAAGTAGCTCATGTATGCAAATTTCCTGTCTGGATTACTTT